TATATATTATAAATATATATATTTTAATTATAGTTTTATAAAAATATATATACCTAAAATATAGTAGTATAAAGATGCTGTTCTCCATAATACAAGTAATATATGATGAATGAAAATATAATATTAGCATTTTAATTGAATGAAATTATTTAAATTGTACTTTCTCATAAACAAACATTATATTCTTTATGTTGCCCTATATTTCATAGCATATTTTAGTGGCAAATAATGCTGCAATTTATTCTTTGTAAATAATTAATTTACAAAATAAAAATATTAATTCTTATTATCTAATGTATTATTTAATGCACTACTAAATATTATTTAAATATTGTCTATATAGAAATTATTACATAAGAAAAATATGGAATTTACAGGTGCCAAAAGCATTGACAAATTTTGCGAATTGTCGTTGCGTCGTGATCCATTACTAATGCCGACATTTCATGAACCTTGCCGTTCATTTCGTCAGAGGAAGGAGTGCAATGAACTGCTCCCCTGGAAGATTTTATATAAATTCTATTAAGGGAAAGATGTTTGGGGACATTATAGCCCATGTCTTTAAGTTATCTGGATATTTTTGGATTTTTCTAGAGCCTACCTGTACTTCTCCCGCCCCAAATACCTCTTCTTTATAGAGTTTATATAAAGTCTATTCTCCGGAGGAACAATTCAGTAATGCTTCTCACCCTGATGAAGTGAACGGAGTTCATAAAACGTATTAACGCGACACAGCGATAATCCACAAATCTTTTGGCACTTTTAAAGAAAATACCCATAAAAACCTCAAAAATATTATCAAAAATATGGAATACAACAATGAGACCTTATATATTAATGTAAATAATATAAAAATGCTTGGTCACAATCATACATGAAAAAATTATTGGCGGAATGTACAGAGAAAATTTAGATATAACATTTAACATAATTTTGCAAGTCTTAGATAATCACTAGATTGTTGCTTATAATGGTTTATAAATTGCAGCTATCGCATTATCGCAAATGTTATTTTATTAAGTACAAGATGAACATATAATATAGACTTTTTGATATTTTGCGCAACAATTCAAATGGCTGTGTAAGATCTGAAGTGACAAATAAACAACGTTACGGCTGAGATAAAAGCGCACTTCTATTCATTTTGATACATCAAAACATCAAATGGTCACGTGTTAATATTCTTTCCTTTATTGATTTTTTTTTCTTTTGTTACTTTTTCAGAATGTTTTATATAATGATATTGAGAGATTCGTTCGTATTTAATTCTCAGTTACAATATATATAATATGAAAATTCATTGACAATGTCTTCAAAAACAGAAGCAAATTTATCAATTCAAATATGAATTTCATTCTAAATATTTTAAGTATGAATTCTAATGTGTCGCATATATTTTTAATCCTTTGTTGTATGGTAATATTCTATACTTATTGTATGTTTATTGAACAATATCTCTCACGGAATATATCATTTTTTTTAAATATCAATGTAGACATTTATTTCATTTTTTTTCTTTTACCATTTAATATCCTTATATATCTTTTATACAACAAATATGGATTAGAGAGACGCAATTAAGAAAGTAAGTTTGGTGAGATCATTTTGCTTACCTTTCTTCCCTGCTTCGCTCTCTATATTCACGATCTCTTTCACGTTCGCGTTCTCTTTCCCGGCTGCGTGAACGTTCTCTTGGATATGGTTCATTGTAATAACGTTCTCTGTCCCTATCACGATCTCTTTCTCTTTCGCGATCACGCTCTCGATCACGCTCTCGTTCACGATCTCTGCTACGCTCACGGTATTCACGATCCCGACTTCTGGATCGTTCACGTCGTCTTCTATGACTGCGTTCTCTATCACGCGAACGCGAACGCTCTGTAAGAAAATTCGTTATCTGTGAGAGGGACGACACAATCAATTTTAAAACAAAGATAGAATAATATATTTACAGAGAGAAAAGATTTTTATAACTTAATATTTTAAAATGTAAAAGAGTATATATTTTTCTATGAATTATATTTATTGCTTTTTCTTTCCTTAATGCTATAAATTTAAAAAACTACAATTCTGGCACTTTTCAACAGCAGAATTGATTATAAATAAGATATATTTCACGCAATTTGTTTAACTTACCTCTACGTCCGGAACCATAACTTTTGGTCTCGACACCACGTAAAGTGTCTTGGAGGGAACTGATCAAAATTTTGCATCTGTCATCTGCAGCTACCTTGGATTGTTTTATCAGCGAAATGGCAGTTACCAAGGTCTCTATGGCACTTGCATATTCGCCTGCTGCGGCATCGGATACTGCTCGCGCGATTGCGGATGAGGATACTGTACGATTACGACCCATTATTTCTTCAAATTCTTGTTCGGTGAGTGGCGGAGGACCTTCAGGACGATGATCAGGCCCGGGAGCTCCATAAGGAGCCTATAAAATACAGGAACACATAAAAACAATATAAAAAATTGTATCAAATTTTATCTATTTTCATATATAAATATCTCCTGAATAAAAAGTATTTACGAATCTATAAATCTTGCTCTTAATTGTAATACAGACAAATTTGCGAAGAATTTCTATTTGATGACTATTTGAAACAGTAATTAAATCAAAACATGACTATTAAAATTTAATCTATGTTAGAAACAAATTATCCATTAATTGATTAAATTTTTAATTACGATTAAACATGTTTAAACATGTTAATAAGACAATACTTGTGCACTTGGTGGCCCATAACCATGTGGTGGTACATGTGGCGGTCCGTGAGATTGTCCATGAGGGGGTCCATGAGGAGGACCATGAGGCGGGCCATGAGGCGGTCCATGTGGTGGACCATGAGGCGGACCAGGAGGTCCCGGTGGATGTTGGCCGGGATGTTGATGAGGTGGTCCTTGCGGAAAGAATGCAGGATTGACATGAGGTGCTGGGCCACCCGGTGGTCCTTGAGGAGGACCTTGTGGTGGTCCACCATGTCCTGGAGGCGGTCCGCCTGGACCTAACAATATACTTTATAAATACTTCAAATAATATTTAATATTAAATATTAAATATTTAATATTTATTGTTTGTCGAACATAAATAAATGTTTCGTGAATATAAACCACAGATTTCTATATGCATTATTAGACTGTTATATTCTGTTCAACGAAAAATTTACCACTCTTCACGCGTAGAAAAACAGGTAAAGTGGAAATGGATTCTATATCGTATACGTAAGTGTAGGCTTAGAAAATTGAGCGAGTGAAGTAATCACTTGAAATAATCTCCACTTTGTCGTTTCTTATTCGAAAGATGATAAATCTCTCGTTGAAAAGAACATAACTTCTTATAATAAACAATGGATTTAGATCGTACAACACAGATCGTTTTGCGCATGCATAGGCACGATAATCCTGAAGAAGAAATGCAGCATGGACCAACTACAGATTTCTGTATTATAAGTCTACGGGACCAACAGACGTGCAGATGTGCGTCACATGGTGCATCTCTCGGTATGTGTGTAATAATAGGAATTGGAATTACTTTTTCAAAAGCAATACTATATAAAAAAAGTCTGTACTATAAACACACAAGATGGATAATAAATTATGTAAATAATAAATAAAAGTAAATTCCTATTTCAAAATCGAATTACTTGAAATATTTCGTTAATGTTGTTTTTTTATCAAGTATATTGAATTTTTCAATAATGAGTAACAATATTCAATCAAATTCAACAAAATATACAATACGCAAATATGGTGAAATAAAACACACAGTGATGTTTACTAGTAATACTAAAAATCAGTAGTAATCATACAATTTTTTATTATTTCAAATTACTCCTTTGTTGGAGAAATAATCCTTTGAAACACCTTGCACCTAAATGATTCTGTCAAATCAATTTCCCTCAATATCATGCATCTCACAATATAGCGAATAATTCATTAATAACATTTGTAACATTGAACAAGCAAGTAGCTCACCACCCATAGAACCTGGAGGAGGTCCTCTCTGTGGTGGGCCTTGGCTAGGCTGCGGCCCTTGCATATGTTGATGTTGAGGGAAACCTGGTGGTCCCTGAGGCCCATGATGCATTCCTATGCACATACATGAACAATCTCATCAGTAATATCAATTTGCTATTAGCAAATTGAAAAATGACATAGTACACTACTATTACTTCGCCACATTTTTGCTTGTAAGTGTCTATCATCTCTTTGTTATTTTTTTTTTCTATCGTTTACTCAATCATGCAAAAAAATAGAAGCAGTCAAGATGTTTCAGAGGAGTAATCAATTTTAAAGGTTTTGGGTTCTAAACGAAGTTTTTTTATAGCGAAACTTTCCAGAGAACAGCAAAAATCTAAGCACGAACCTGGTGGTCTATTCCATTCAGGACGAGGCTGCGCTCCTCTGGGATCTCCTGGAGGTCCACCAGGATGTCCAGGAGGACCACGTGGAGGGCCCTGACCAGGTGGTCCAGGTGGGCCACCATGAAATTGCTAAATGAGGACAAATGAAAGTTCTAGTTTATTCTATCATAATTATATGGATAGTTATTGTCTAAACCTTCACAAGACAAATAATTTCATAATTAAAGAACAAGGAACAAGTTTGTAAATAATAAAATAAAACATTGGCATTACTTTGTAAAATTAATATTATATGAAATTTATTTAAATATAACTATTAATACTAAAGTTTAACAAAGAACATTTCAATATTTTCTTAAAAATTTAACATTTATATAAATTTATTGGGTATTACAATGTCTAATAAATTTATATGTTTTTAGAAAAATAATCAACATTTTCTTTATCAAGGAATGACAAATATTCAAATGAATGATAATCGATTTAGATATTCCATTGATATTTAGATATTCCATCATTTCTGAAAGATTTATTGAAAAGTTCTGTCTCATGTGCGTAAAACCCCCATCCTTGCATCATTAAAAGGGATATCTTGTTCAGTTAGCATTAGTATTTTAAGCAGGGATAAAGTGTCCTTGCTTAATTTTGTTTTTGCATAAAAATGTATTATTATATTAAAAATAAAAATAATAGGAACAACCTCCAATGACTTTGACTTTGGCATATGATGTCAAGATATGACAATTCTGAACACCGTTTAAAAAATCGTCAGTCAGACACCTTGGAAATGCAAGTGTTGGCAAGATCGTAACTTTAAAGTCTCTAACTAAAGAAAATACTTAATAAAAAATAACATTGTTGTAGTGTTTTAACAAGCTTAAAGTCAATAAGAATATGTAGTAAAAAATATGTAATAAAAGTCCGCTCCGTATATACAGGAAATGGAAGTAATGCCGTTATTTTCCATCATTATTCTGTTATAACGATTTTTTATAATGAATTTTATAACGAATTTTTACGACTGCAAGAATTGGAAAGTTACTCGATCATTACTTGTAACGAGTTGAAAAAGTTATTGAAAAAATTAACTTGGCATTTGTAACTTTTTATTCATTGTAATGTTACTCGTTACAAATTATTTTTTTCAATAAGCAAACCCGTAAGTTATTTTTCAAAGTGACTTTCTCAACCGTAGTACAATCTCAGCATTTAGTTATCATTATAGTTATAAAAAGTTGCAACATTATTATCAAATTATTTTTATAAAAAATAACAGAAAAAATAACGAAATAGTAACTTTTCTCTATATATGTGCACATGCACGCGCACACACATAATCATTCTAAATAACCAGTTATTTATATTTTCTCTTGATGTCAGTTTAATTAAAAAAGAAAATTCTCTTATTCAGAATTGATATCATAAATCTACTTTTTCTAGTCGTTATCTTAATTATTTTTCTAGACATCCTTTATACCAAAAAGTGGGAACAATCGTTGATTTAATTTAATTCTTTCTTTGTCCCACTCTGTTTATCATCAAGAAAATTTCGAATTAATAATTAAAATTCTTTTAAACAAGATATCCACTGAAACTCATATTCTCTGAAATCAAAAATAGGTTGTCAAAAAAACTTAAACAATGGAATGATCAGGATAACATAATGGAGAATAATGAAGATAAAATTAATCACAAGTTTTTTACAATCCTCTTTATACCACTTTTATCAGAAAAGATAAAAAAATTTTTTAAAAGACTCCTTAATACACATGGTATATAAAGGGATTAATAATTTTAGGGGGGTTCATAAAGACGTTCGTCCCAAGCTATCTCACACAGACGTTGAAAATTAAAAAATTGATTATATATAAAATTGATTATCGAGAAAAATCATATATGGGCTAAATAGACGTTTGAGGACGCATAAGTGAGTATAGGAATCACATAAATTGAAACACTATACAGCATTCCGTAATAATAGAACACAGAATTAGTCAATATGATTTTGATTGGGAAAATGTCAAGATATTAGAAAGGTACTTAATAAAAGACTGATTTCAAAAGCAATCCATATAAAGCAAAACAGAGTTTGAATTTATAGAATAATACGTATTCTTTAGATCCATTATACATTACATACATTTTTTACTGATAAATTTTTTTGAGCCTCATTTTATATATTCACTTATTTATACAAATAATTCAATTTTGTAATTAGAATTTTTTTAACTTATGTATAATATAATAAAAATAATTGATTGAATATGAAACAAACTATAAAAAGTAAAATCGAAAAAAAAATTATATCATTTATCTGTGGAATAGGTAACTGGCTTCTGAAAGATCTCTAGTGTAACTGTTTACGCATAAGATATATAAATGCAAAACATAAACCTATACTATGACTTAAACTTTAAATCTTCATGATTATTTACAGTAGGCATGCATTAAACGATTTTTTTTTAAGAAACTATGCAGATCTATAAATCTCAGTACGTCTTCTAACAAATTGATCTCGCAAGCTTCGTGATTATTTTATCAAAATAATTAAAAAGCATTTGAAATGTTTATTAACCATAAGATTTTAACACAGTTTAAGGATATGTTAAAAATTATAATTTAAAGTTACTATATACATACACATGCACACCACGAAAAAATTTCCAAAATAACATTATAATTTTCTACAGCAATTATTGAAATAGAATATTAAATACCATTTATACAATGCAAGTTCCTTTTTTTTTATATAATCGATTTCGAATAAATATTGTTACACCTGTTTCGTATTGATTGTGAGTATTGCAGAGTCGCCAGTAGAGAAAATAACAAACGAGTTTCTGAAGTAACAAGTCGTTTTGTCTAACGGGCGAGTTGAGTTTCGAATGAATTGTCGACTTGCACTTCAATTCTGCTCTATATTTCTATATACATTGTTATTTATTAAAGAGAAAGTTTCGTTCGTAAATGTGTTCTTTTATTTCTGCGAGTTCGGAAGTGCACGAGTGCAACGCGCGAACGAAATTGTGAGATTATGAGTTTGACTCCTGGGCGTAATAATATATTATATTTTAATATATATTTAAGTTTATACCTTTCTAAATTTATATTTATGTTTTTAAAATAAGTTTTTGTTAGAGATAGCATTCCATATTCTAAGAGGTTTTTTTAAAAAGAGTTAATAAAATTCATATTTTATGTCTATATATATATATATATATCTTTGTTGCAATGTTTAGTGCTCAAGATGTTTTTATATTAATGAGTAAATTTATATGCGCCCTGAGTGTACAAATTTTGCTATAATTTCATGAAATTTAACAGCATGTATAATTAAACACAATGCTAAATAAAATGATAGTCCAATGTTCAAAACATATTTTGTCTGTTAAAGAATATAGAAAAATCTGCTTATGATACATACCATTCCCGGAGGTCTATGCTGACCAGGGCCTGGTCCAGGTGGACCCTGCTGAGGAGGACCACCTGGTCCACTAGGTCCTCGAGGTGGTCCCGGAGGACCATTCGGACGAGGTCCATTCCAAGGTCCTTGCTGATAGCCAGGTGGTGGGCCTTGATTAGGATGGCCCGGCAATGGATGATGCGGGCCTGGTCCTGGCCCTAATGGCGGACCATGCATACGTGGTGGAACTTGTTGACCTGGTCCACCGGGACCTGGTGGGCCCATTCCAGGTGGCGGCATCCTTTGTGGTCTTACACCCTGCGGAGGACCCATCATCATTCGAGGACCATGATTTTGTTGTGAATGTTGAGGATGTTGAGGGTGTTGGGGATGCTGTTGATGAGGTGGCATTGGTGGCTGATGTTGATGTGGGTTATGAGGACGTTGACTCTGACTCTGTTGCGGAGCCGGAGCAGGTCGCGTCTTACACTGTGACTCAAACTGAGAACACATAAAAAAAAGATTGTTGTGAAGTTTCACGTGTATCCGCTATTGTGGATATCGTAGCGTACTATATTTGTCAAGAAGTAGAAGTGTCACTTGTTATTTTTCATCATTACCTTGTTATAATAACTGGTAATGACATTGCAAATTTTTTATGGCAATAATGATAACAGAGAAAAATTAATTGTTACTAGTAATAGATTGGAAAAGTTATTCGTTACTGGAAAAAAAAACTTGTTATTTGTGACGAGTTACTTTTATTCGTTATGAACAAAGTAATACTTTTATTTAATAATGAATAAAGTAATATTGCATCGATGAGTTACAACAAATTACTTTATTCAGTACATAACGTGTAGTGGTGACGAGTTACTTTTCTTTCAAAATGACATTTCTAACTTTAGCACAACTTTAGTTAGTTATCGTTACAGTCATAAAACATTGCAACGTCACTATCAAATCGTTAAAAGTAACAGTAAAAATAACGGCGTTATTATATTTCCACTCCCTGCTATTTGTGTATGCTGCGACACTAATTTATGTACTTTCTTTTTACATCACAATGCACAATGATACATACTTGATTGAGGGCTTGCTTGGTAGGGAAAGTTACTACAGGATTCTGTCCGTGCAATTCTTTCTTGGGCAGCCTTTCCATGCATATTCTCATACTTTGCTCTGAACCCAATGATATTACACAGAAACCTTTAGACTGACCATTGGCACGATTCTCGAAGAATTTTACCTCCGCAAAGTCAGTGACACCGATACTTTGAACAGCATCAGTTATATCTTGATCACTTGTCCACTAAAAGTACAATTTGTTATTAATTTTCAATAAAAAAGTAAAATATTAAATAAGAAAGCTTGCTTTTTCAAAAAAGCAAAAAACATTTTATTAAAATTTAAATATTGTGTAATAAAAATATAAAAAAGACTTTGTTTATATTACAGAACCCATAGATAGGAAACAGAAGAAAATATATTAAAGTATAAAAAATATTAAACAAAATGTGTCATATCTATATATAGTTCTTTTGTCGTATAGTATATTATCATAAGATTTTCTTTATATTACACACTGAAAGTAAACATTACATTATAAATGATAGAATGAAAAGAAATCTTTAATGTTGGAATTAAATTTGTGCACATGTATATACCCATGTCAAATTGCCAACATATAATTGGTGTCGTCTACCAATTTGATTTGGTTGTATATTATTGCCAAGTTGATGATAAGGCGCGTTGCCATTAGTTTCTTCACTTGGTGATGTAGTGTCACCACCACCTTCTCCAGTATTTCCAGAAGAGACGCCGCCATTACCACCTGCTGGGGCGGCAATTACGTCATCATAAAGATCAACGCCATCTCCAGCAAATTCGTCCTGAAACAGATATATGAACGAGCACAATAGTAATAAAAATACAATGTGAACCGTTTAAATTATATTATGTTGGAAGAAACGCATAATGTTACAATGATATTAAACAGTAATTTTGATTGTAGTTTAGATGATAAGCAGACTAATCAACAAATGATATATAATGAATTTTACAATATTTATTTAATACACGCACACACATGTATCAAATATGTTACAGTCAAAGTGCAAAAGAATTCTAGAGAATACAGATCAGAAAGTACAATACAATACAATACAAATAATATTAGTCTATGCTTATTTCTTTATGATGATCATTATTCAAGCTATGTATAACTGTTGTGTTTACCCAAGAAAAGCTTAATTAAATGTTTTATTAGAAAATGTTTTTTTGAAAAAAGAAATGCATCGTCAAATTTATAACAACGTATTGAGATCATCTTGTTATTTGAGCATTAAATAAGATAAGCAGGAATCACAAAATAATATAAGAATCAAGTGATGCCAATTTAAAACAATTACATTTGAAAATTCACAAAATTTAAAATAATG